ACGCCCTGACTGTCCCTCTCGGTTACTACAGGTTTGACCCTCGGTTACCACAGCTATAGCGAGAGTCGACAGGATACCTCATCACAGATAAGTCGACAGGACCTATATCACATAAACACAATTATATATTTTTGAAAATAGAGCAATCAATAAATAAATTTTTAATTAAAAAGGCATATATTGGATCAAAATATCATTTATTTTACCAATATTTCAGTTGGCTAAACGCCAATCTTTATCAAGGTATTATAACATTTTAAAGTCTTTAAAATTTTATAATACCTTGATAAAGGTTGGCGTTCAGCCAACCGAAATATTGGTAAAATAAATGATATTTTGAAACAATATATGCCTTTTCAATTGAATAAACACAATTATATTATAACATACAAGTATCAGAGTCATAATCAACAATCAATCAATTCTGTCATCGTTTGCTTTTGTGAATATAATAAATACCCAAATATGGCGATTTCTTATTGATGTATCTCCTCCTGGTGTTTGTCACAACACACACAGCCGAGATCTATTGGTCAATTTTCTGTTTTATTGCACCGTTAATGTCGTATATATACAAATATGTATTTACATATTAATAATAAAAAACATGCAAAATACATATAGATGTTTACCAATTTACATACACAACACATCCCCCTTCTTAATAGTAGTGCAGCCGGTCTGGCGGTCTTCTGGATCGCTGCGGTCTTGGACTGCGCACAGGGACAGGGACAGCCGCAGCAGCAGGACCCGGTTCTGGAGTGTCCTCTTGTGCTGAAGACTCCGCTCCTTTAAATTCTTCGTCCACCTCCGGGGCTTCTTCCATTGTCTTCTCCTGTCCTCCAAGCCTAGGGTGATCTCGAGAAGTGCCAGGCAGTATAAAATCTCTTGATGTACCCGGCAATACCAAATCTCTCACTTCAGGAACTTCTTTCTTGATAACTGGCCTTAGTTGATTTATGTGTCTTTTCACATAACGGCCTTCGTCTTCTATAAGGTAATGTCGGCTGCTCAGTAGTTCCATGATCCTGCCCCTTTTCCATTTTGGTCCGTTAGCAAAACTCCGGAAATACACATCAGAGCCGACCGCAAAATGCTCTTGCTTCCTCATGGCATCATGGTACACCTCTCCTACCTTCGCCATTTTCGGAATCAAATTTGAAAATCTTGATCTTAGATTTCTTTACATTAAAAGTTCCGCGGGAGACTCCTTTAATACCGTTTGAGGAAAAGCTCTATGGGTGAATAAAAATCTCTGTAGATTGATTTCTATACTGTCCTTTCCTTGGTTCTTTCGTAAAGCGTTTTTTAAATTCACGTACATATCGCTCAGCTAAGCCATTAGTGCTGGGATTGCACGGACTCGTTTTTGAGTGTCTTATACCATTTATTGTTGTAAATTCCTCAAATTCACTTGAGACAAATTGTCTGCCATTATCGGTTACCAAAAGTTCAGGTATTCCAAATCTGGCAAAGATCTCCCTAAGATGTCCTATGATAGTCCTGCTCGTAATGTCCTTTATGATGACAATCTCCAGCCATTTGGTGTACGCGTCTACAAGGACCATAAACATTCGTCCCATAAAGGGACCTGCTAGATCTAAGTGTAGACGGTGCCACGGCTTCTCAGGTCAAGTCCACTCTGAAATGGTAGACGGCGGCATACTTGCAGATTCTTGGCATATTCTACAATCTCTAGCCAACTCTTCAATGTTCTTATCTATGCCTGGCCACCACAAATACCGTCTAGCAATCATTTTCATTTTCACTATCCCTAGGTGCATCTCATGTAAATCGTTCAAAATTAAGGATCTTAATTTCTGGGGAATTACCACTCTTTCACGCCATTGAAGACACCCAAACTCACAACTTAATTCGTCTTTTATCCTATAATAGGAATAAAGTGGATTTTCCTGCGATACCTTTGGAATTTGCCAATTATTTTCCCTAACATTTCTCAACACAATTGATAGTAATTTATCCCGGCGTGTCTCAACTGCCACATCCTGGAATGAGAAGGGGGCCTCACTCATTTTCCGAAGGAGAAGCACCTGATCCTCATCCAAAGATTCCGTGGTCTTTGAGACTAAAGGTAAACGTGATAACGCGTCTGCATTGCCATTATCATCAGTTTTTCGAAACTCCACAGTGTATTTAAATGCAGATAATTTTAAAGACCACCTCTTAATTCTTGATGCAGCACATATGGGGATCGGTTTCTGGGGTGAAAAAATGTGCATTAAAGGTCGATTGTCTGTGATCAACACAAATTCACGTCCCAATAGATATTGTCGGAATTTCTCACAACCAAAAATGATGCTTAAGGCTTCTTTTTCTAATTGCGAATACCGTCTTTCCGCTTCAGTTAGCGTTCTTGAAGCAAAGGCTATAGGAGTTTCTCTTCCTTTCTATCGTTCCTGTGACTCAGAACCACTCCTAAACCATAGCTAGAGGCGTCACATGCAAGGACTAGTTCCCTAGTTGCATCATAATGTGCCAGCACCGACTCGTTAGTTAGCAATGCTTTGCATTTTGCAAATAATATACGGTGTTCGCCAGTCCAGTTCCATTTGGAATTCTTTTTTAAGAGGTGATAGAAGGGCGCTAAAATATCTGCAATATTTCTTATAAACCTAGAGTAATACATAAGGAGACCTATAAAAGATCTCAATTGAGAAACATTTGTAGGTTCAGGCGCCTCTACCACCGCTTCTATTTTACTACTTATGGGATGCAGTTCCTTTTTATCTATTTTAAAACCTAAATATTCAACAGCATTTACTGCGAATTTGCATTTATCCTTGTTTAATCTTAAACCTTTTTCTTGCAGCCTTTTAAAGACCAATTACAGCTTTTGCTCGTGATCCCTGTGATCCTTTCCGGCTACCAGGATGTCATCGATGTAGCAAGCCACTCCCGACATATCTGCAAATAGATTGTCCATTTCTCTTTGGAACTTATTTGGTGCTACAGCTACTCCATAGGGTAGCCTTTTAAAGGCAAATAACCCCTTCATAGTATTAATGTTCACCACTCTTTTGGCCTCTTCAGATAACCTGACCTGCAAATAAGCTCTGGATAAGTCCAATGACGAAAACACTGTATTTCCAGACAATTTTGAAAATATTTCGTCTATTGATGGCAGCGGGTACTTATCCAATTCTATGGCTTATTTGCGGTGCATCTGAAATCGCCGCAAATTCTAAGGCTTCCATCTTTCTTCAGTACTGGTACTATAGGTGCGGCCCAGTGGAGGTGTACCATGATGTCATGAGGAAGCAAGAGCATTTTGTTCAGCTAGCTCAAACGAGACTGCTATAGAAAATACTCTGTCCAAGGTGACATCGTCATCCTCCTGCAACAATTTCTTCTGAAGGCTTTCTGACTTTATACCAGCTACAAAACGGTCTCGTAACATGACCTCCAACATTTCACCAAAAGTGCAATCCATAGCCAAATGCCTGAGCTCACGCAGGTATACTGAAACGGATTCATTTCCTAGTTGAACTCTTTTAAGAACCTGCATCGTTGAGGAATCACCTTCTTTCTTGGAGCTAGATGTAGCTTTATTCTTTGTACTAACAGTTCATAAGGCTGTTCTCTCATTGTACTCGGGAAGAACAAATCATTGCCCAGTTTCAACATTTCCGAATCCAGCAGAGAAACAAAGATGGGTATTCTTTTTCCCTCCTCCAGCCCATTCGCCTCAAAGGCAGCTTCGAATCTTTGAACGAAAATATCAAAGAATTCTTCCACTGGTCTGAAGAAACCGAACGGTACAATCATTGAACCACCAGACATACTGTTGGCTTCTCGTTAACTTTAGATATCAGGCTTCTTTTACTTGCGAAAATGCAATTGATCTTGTTCCCACAGGTCCTCGTCGCCAGTTGATGTATCTCCTCCTGGTGTTTGTCACAACACACACAGCCGAGATCTATTGGTCAATTTTCTGTTTTATTGCACCGTTAATGTCGTACATATACAAATATGTATTTACATATTAATAATAAAAAACATGCAAAATACATATAGATGTTTACCAATTTACATACACAACACTTATAATCATCGGTGGTTCAGTGGTAGAATGCTCGCCTTCCACGCGGGCGCCCTGGGTTCGATTCCCGGCCGATGCATTTTTAATTTTTTTTTAAATAATTTTTAAAACTCATTTATATTATTAAAATATATATGCTTTTCCTGTCTATGTACAGATTTATGGTCTATGTACACAAGTATACAAGTTATTTGCAAATTGCGTGGCAAATTTGCCCTTTCGCTCGCAAGCAGCGCCTCTAGCGGTGAAGATAGGAGGTAATATCAGCTGACCTAATGGACATGTAAAACGTGTTTTAACAGAAAATGAGAAAAATCTGGAAAATATATTTTTCAGATTTTTAGTCAAGAAAAATAAATTGACAGGTTCTGGGAAAAAAGTAGTTGTTTTTTATTCAGAAAATGATGATGACAATATTGCTGTATCATTAATATATATAGTTATCAGCGTCATGCATTCTTTCTTTATTCTGTCACCGTTTGCTTTTGGTTCAGTGGTAGAATGCTCGCCTGCCACGCGGGCGCCCCGGGTTAGATTCCCGGCTAATGCATTTTTTTAAAATAATTTTTTAAAACTCATTTATAATATTAAAATATATGTGCTTTTCCTGTCTATGTACAGATGTACGGTCTATGTACACAAGTATACAAGTTATTTGCAAATTGCGTGGCAAATTTGCCCTTTCGCTCGCAAGCAGCACCTCTAGCGGTGAAGATGGGAGGTAATATCAGCTGACCTAATGGACATGTAAAACGTGTTTTAACAGGACATAGAGAAAAATCTGGAAAATATATTTTTCAGATTTTTAGTCAAGAAAAATAAATTGACAGGTTCTGGGAAAAAAGTAGTTGTTTTTTATTCAGAAAATGATGATGACAATATTGCTGTATCATTAATATATATAGTTATCAGCGTCATGCATTCTTTCTTTATTCTGTCATCGTTTGCTTTTGGTTCAGTGGTAGAATGCTCGCCTGCCACGCGGGCGCCCCGGGTTAGATTCCCGGCTAATGCATTTTTTTAAAAATAATTTTTAAAACTCATTTATAATATTAAAATATATGTGCTTTTCCTGTCTATGTACAGATTTACGGTCTATGTATACAAGTATACAAGTTATTTGCAAATTGCGTGGCAAATTTGCCCTTTCTCTCGCAAGCAGCGCCTCTAGCGGTGAGATGGGAGGTAATATCAGCTGACCTAATGGACATGTAAAACGTGTTTTAACAGGACATAGAGAAAAATCTGGAAAGGATATTTTTCGGATTTTTAGTCGAGAAAAATAAATTGACAGGTTCTGGGAAAAAAAGTAGTTGTTTTTTATTCAGAAAATGATGATGACAATATTGCTGTATCATATTTGATTATCAGACACAAAATTATATCCAGGAAAAATTCCAAAAAGCAGAGACCACGGGTGAAGCCAGTTCATTTTTAGTATGCAGGAACAAAATTCTAACAGAAAAACATTCATTCGAGCAGAAGACACAAAGCCAGATCATCTCTTTATAAAAATATCGCTTCTCAGACACAAAGTTTGGAGCGGGACGTTTCACAAGAATGACATCCACGGCGCCAATTTATAATTGTAACAAATAGTATTTGAATAAAAGCATTTAATCGGGTAAAACCCGGGCATTGCCCTTTCTTAATAAATTCTGTCACCGTTTGCTTTTGTGAATGGAATAATTACCCAAATATGGCCATTTCTCATAACCATCGGTGGTTCAGTGGTAGAATGCTCGCCTGCCACGCGGGCGGCCCGGGTTCAATTCCCGGCCGATGCATTTTCTTTTACAATTTTTAAAACTCATTTATCTATATATATAAAATTGAATGTCTGTCTGTCTGTGTGTGTGTGTCCTCTATGGATTCAAAAACCATATATCCAATCGCCGTGAAAATTTGGGATATTATTAGGTGTATCCCCGGAAAGGTTTACGAAAAATAATTTCTTGAATATCTTGAATATCCTTAGAGTTATTTGCAGATTTGTATATTTAACTCGCAAGCAGCGCCGCCATTGAGACGGAGATAGGCTTAGTTTGCTGCTTCTGATGACCTTGGGTCATCGTGTGAGTCACAGCATGATGCTACAAAAACACTCTCTCTGGGGATTTTACAGCGTCGACAACCTGTAAGATTGCCTCTCTCATATATTATACTTTAAACATCTGCTTAATTAAAGCATTTTTCATTTGAAAGAGACTGCTCTCTTAACCCCCTTTAGACAACATTAAATGATATCCCGTGTCGATGATTTTGTAATGTATAGAATTAGGAAAGACAAAATTCACGATGACACGGCTCACAGGGAACGGTAAAAAATGTTCACTTTATCGAGGAAATACAAAATTCGGGATGACACGGCACACAGAGACCGGGAAAAAAATGATCACTTTATCGAGAGATTCACGACCATGGATTTTATTCAACTTATCGAGTATTTATCAAGGGACCGGGAAAATATGTTCACTAGATAAAACGATGATTTTGTAATGTAGAAAATTATGAAAGACAAAATTCAGGATGACACGGCACACAGGGACCGGGAAAAAAATGTTCACTTTATCGAGAGATTCACATTTACGAGTTTCAAATTATCAAAATATATCTCTTTTTTTTTATAAGTTTATAGAGAATTGTTTTAACAAATGTTCGTTAGACAAACCTTTACTCGGGTAAAACCTCGGGCGAAGCCGGGTACGTCCGCTAGTATATTATACAAGAATGACATCCACGGAGCCAATTTATAATTGTAACGAATAGAATTTGAATAAATGCATTTAATCGAGTAAACCCCGGGCGTTGCCCGGGTCATTTGGCTAGTCCCTATATATAGTCACGACCGTCATGGGCGGGCTGGCCGGCCGGTTCTGTCACGGATGCGCGCGCATCATCATTATGATCATTATCATTATCTAAGGATAATAATAATAATTATTATTATTATTATTATTATATTATTATTATTATCCATCATCCCTATATATAGTCATCAACATATATAGTCACGACCATGCTTTGTATATATTCCAACAGTTGGGGTAAATAAATTTTTAGAGAAGATTAAGAGTATAATATGCCACCGATTGTAATTAAATCGACGATCGGACCAACTGGCGAGAAACTATGCATAATCGAAGCCTCCTTAATAACAAAGATCCTAGACAAATGTGGAATCGAGTATAAACTTGAGGAAACGGTTCAATCAAAGAAGAGAACTCGCGGCTCCCAGGATGACTCAAGATCGCCAACTAGGAGCGAGCGTAACCTGAAGACGCCTAGAATGGACATCGACGAACAAAGTCCCGCCACTGGAGTTTCTCAACAAATGAACGCAGCTCACCCACCGCAAGACGATGAAGAAAATAACGACAACGATGGCCCATGGACCACAGTCACTAACGTGAAAAAACCGAGAATTCCTCCTGTTATTGCGGAAAATGTTGCAGATTGGAAGCTTATTTGCCAAGAACTAAAAGACTTGTGCATGGAACCATTCCAAGTCACGATCTCTGGCAAAAAGCACATAATTAAATCGAAAAACATAGGCGACTTCAAAAAAATCAGGGAATATGTACAGAAAAATAATGGAGGATATTCCTACAGACTACAGGAGGAAAAACCGCTAAAAGTGGTATTGAAGGGGGTATCAACAGCCTTCAAAGAAGAAGACGTCGTAACTGAACTGGTCTCAATGGGCTTCACTGAGGTCATTGTCAAAAGACTCCATAGACAATCGACCAAAATACCGATGAATATAGTCCTAATAGAGCTACCGAAAAATGAACAAAATAAACGAATCTATGGAATAACCGAAATACTTTATCAAAAAATAGTCGTGGAATCATTCAGGACTACAAAACGAGTGACCCAATGCTTTAACTGCCAGGGTTTTGGGCATGGCCAGCTAAACTGCTTTTTGAAGCCCAAATGCGTCAAGTGTGCTGAAGAACACCATTCGAAGGATTGTACAAGAAACTCGAAACAGCTCCCACCAAAGTGCGCTAACTGTGGAAAGGCGCACACAGCCAATTACCGCGGATGCCCAAATTTTCCGAAGCCACAACAACAGCAGCTAAAGCCTCCCAGACAAAACTCCCCTAACACCATACCCCAAGCAAGCTCCACTAAAACAGAAGAAGCAACTACTGAAAAACAAAAGGCAAGTTACGCTGAAACTGCAAAAAAGAAAACTACTCGTTCTGACACCAGGGAACTGTGCGAAAAGTTATTAGAAATTATCAAAACCTTACAATGAAAGGCAAATTACCTTTAAAAATCGTTTTCTGGAATTGCAACGGAATCAAACTCAAAAAAGAAGAATTCCTACAGTTTTTAGAAGAAAACTCAATAGACATGGCACTGCTCAGTGAAACACACTTAAAACCATCTGTCGACCTCAAACTCAGAAACTATCAGACAATAAGAGACGATAGAATCGTTGGAAGGGGCGGTGGAACGGCAATAATTCTAAAAAACTATCTTAAATATAAAAAAGTGCTGATTCAAACATCTAACATGGAAAACACCACAATACTAATGAAACCAGATGGAAGGGCAGTAGTGCAGATATCGTCAATCTATAAGAAACCTGATCTACCACTCCTGGAGGAAGATCTGAATCTTTTGTTAGAGAATAACCAATCAGTAATCGCTGCAGGAGACTGGAACTCCAAGCACCCTCTTTGGGGCTCAAGAACCTCCAATAATAGTGGAACCGTGCTTCATAATTTTTCCGAAAAAGAAAACCTGGACATTGTCGCACCTTCTTCACCCACGCACTACAGTCCTTTGGGAAATCCAGACTTTCTAGACATCGCAATTCTTAGAAACATCCCCTGGACTTCGAGGATTAAGACCCTGGATGCCTTATCTTCAGATCACCTCCCAGTAATCCTAGAGCTGACCTGCCCGAAGGATGAATTCACGACTAGGGCTTGCCGACTCACTAACTGGGTTCACTTCCAACAAGACTTAATTTCTAGTACGCCTCCTAGAGTACCCTTGAAAACGGAAGCCAATATTGACTCAGCAGTGACCATACTAAATGATAAAATCTACAACAGCTACTCAAAAAACACGGTTATTTCATCCTCTTCATCAAAACAGAACCCTTCAACCAAGGCCTTGATAAAAGAAAAGAATAAAGCTCGTAAGAGATGGCAAGCAACCTGGGATCCAGCCCATAGAGCCATTTATTTAAACCTACAGGGAAAAGTTAACAAAGCCCTCAAATCTGACTCCACCGAGAACTGGAATCAATTCATACACAAGATTGAATCAAGCCCAAAGGACTTCTGGAGAAAAACAAAACCTATCAGGAAAAAAACGGAAAGGATCTCAAATTTAGTAATGAACGGCAAAACCTTATTGACCGACAAAGAAATCGGAAATGAACTTGCAGAACACTTCTCCAACCAGTTCTCCAAGGAAAAAGAAGAAGACCAACCAAACATAACTTATAATCACCAAAAAGAAAGAATTCTCACAGTGACGACACCAAATGAAGTCAAGGAAGTGATTGAATACTTAGCTAACCACAAAGCTCCTGGCCATGACAATATCACTCCGAAAATGGCCAAGAATCTTCCCATCAAATGGATTGTATTTCTAGCTGGAGTTTTCAACGCCGCGCTGCACTTGTGTTACTACCCCAAAGTCTGGAAGCATGCTATCATAATTCCAATTCCAAAAAAATCCGCTAAATCCCCTGAAGATCTAAGACCTATCAGCCTCCTCCCCACCATCGGCAAAATTTACGAAAGAATTATTTTACGTAGACTTCAGAGGTACTTGGACAACTCTAACTTCATTATCCCGCAGCAATTCGGATTTAGAAGGGGGCATTCAACAACTCACCAACTCATTGCAGTTATGGACTACATCCAGATAAGAAGATCCCACAAGGAAGTGGTAGGTGCAGTCTTTCTAGATTTTGCGAAAGCATTTGATAAAGTTTGGCATAATGGCCTTATAAAGAAACTCACAAAACACCAGTTTCCAAATGAC